TAGCGGGCGGGGAACGTTAAATCTCGCGCCGCCGACCTGGGCCACGGAGCCCCGCGGGCGAAAGGCATCTCACCCACTGGGCGGGCCGCGATGGCAGGGGGCCCCGCGACTGAGAAATGCGCGCGAGCAGCGGCGCGCCCGCGCGACCGTGCAATTTTTTCCGGGCCGCGGAGGAGACAGGCGGCGAAACGACTCACGGCGGGCGGCCCGCTGGAGATCGGCCCCGAGGGCCGGCCAATCTCAGACTGCCGCGCCCCATGGGCCCCCCGAGATCCCGGGGCCGCGGGCCCCGGGCGGGGGCGCGAGCTCTCGGCCGCGCGCCCGCGCGCGTCGGGGGAACGCCGCTGACGCGATCTCGCCTTGACGGCGTCGGCATGGCCGCGCCCGTCGCGAGCAAATCCACGGTCGCGGGCCTCGGCAGCGTCGACCACTACCGCGGGCGACTGCAGGCCTGCGCACAGGAGCTGCCGGATGCCGGGCGGGCCCATGGCGGCGACGCCCCGACCCGCCCCGCCCGACGCATTGCCCGCCGTCGCCGCGACGGCGCCGCAGTCCAGGGAGACGACGGCATGCTCTCGAGCGCGAGCGAGAAAGTGCACCATGCCCTCGCGAATGTCGGGATGAATAACGCGCGGGCCCGCCCAGAGCTCGCGCCCGCTCGGCAACGCGCGCGCCCCATGAGCAACGCGGGGCGGCGCCTTCGCGGCGGCGGCTTGCACCGCGAGCGCAACTGGCGCAGCGGGCCCGCGAACGCGACGACGCGCGGGGGATGGGTCGGGGCGCCAGATACCCCGCGCCAACGCAACGCAGGCTGCGCCGGGCGACAGACCTGGCCACCGGCGCATCGGCAGCCTCTGCCACCGGCCCGAAGTCGCCCGCTGACAGCACCGGGCCCGCGACGAAGGAAACGCAGATGAACCGGTCATCAACTCCAGCGCCCAGGGCCTCGGGGCCGAACGGCACCGCCCTGGACTGACCTGGGCCTGGTCAAGCACGCTGGAAATCGACGCAACGAGCCGCGACTGCTGCCCGGGACCACCATCGCGCTCGCGGGCCTGGCAGCGAGGGGCCAGCGACGGCAGGGCCCAACAGAACTCCGTCACTGAATTGCTCGCGCGTGGCCGGACAGGGGAAGGGCGCGGCCTGTCGCCGCGGCGACTGGAGTTGGGCTCTGCCGAGGTAGCCGCAACGACGATTGCGACCGCATCCTTGCCGTCAGCGAAGGCGAGCTCCAGCGTCCAGATTCACCGCGACTGCGTCGTCGCATCCTACGAGCCACGGGCAAAACCCCAGGAGGCAACGCCCCTGCAAAGGTCAATGGGACGGGCGGAGGAAGCGCCTCGCGCTTCGCCTCGCCCGGGCAGCCCCCCCGGGGAAGGAAGGGGCGCGCGGCCCGTCGGAGGGCGAGCTGTTTTCTCCAAGGTCGACGGCGTCAAAGGCGCCCTGGACTTACGCGGCAAATCGACCGCGACATCGCAGGCGAGACTCGCCCCTGCGACGCGCGCGCCGGCTGGGAACCGGCTCGCCACTGGGCCTGGGCCGCTGCGAGAGGCCCTCGAGAACGGACGGGGCTCGTCGCCGGCGCTCGGCGCGCCTGGGCACGATCCCGACGCCAAACGCAAGTCGCGCCCCCCACGCGACCTGCGCGTAAGAGCGGACGCGCAGCTGCTCGGCGGAGCCGCGCTTGAGACACCCATTGGCGACGTGAATGCGCTGCCCAGGGCGCAAGCATCAGCGCCATCGCGCGGCAAAGTCAGCCCGCCGCCCGAAGTCTGGAGCAAGCCGCTCTGATCGAGCATTGCGCGAAGTGCGTTCCACTCGGCGCACAGCATTCCGGGTTTCGCATAGGCGCCCGCGCGCTGACCGACGGACCTGAAAAGGAGCGCGGGGGGGGGCGACGCCGCCAATCGCTGCCCGCCGGGAGATAAAGACCGACAGCGGCGCCGCGCGGCTGCGCTTCAAGCGCAGCAAGCTGGGGCAGTCGCCCCAGAAATCTCCACGTCGCGCATCGCGTAACTCTCCCCAACATGTAGCTGCAATATGGCAGTCGTGGACAGGTCACTCACCACCGCGTGAACCCATGGACTAAACCGCCGACTCTCTAGCGGAGGCGCGCGCCAACTTCCGCCTGTCCATCGGGGTTATCGCGCGCACACGTGCGACGCCTCCTTAGGGCGCGCGTGCCCTGGCCAGATTCACCGCCATGGAAAGCGGGCCCGTGCCGCGCATCAATGAGATCGACTTAGGGCGCGACTTGCTGACGTAGGCGGAAACCACGCGCGGAGAGTCCTTGCTGCGCTCGGCCACCAGCACGGCTGGCGCTGGGGTCAGCTCCTCCGCTGCAGCTCGAGACAAGGGGGGCTGAGACTGAGACTTCAGCGCCCCCTCTGGTTCCTGGTCCAGGTCGTCGACGTGACTGTGGTCGAGACGGCCCGAACAAGGAGCGGAGCGTCCTTCAAGACTGCTGCACTGAAGCCAAAAAGGGAAGGCTGGAGCGAGGCGTTGCCGATGCCGCCGAGGCCGAAGACGCCGTTGTGGGTCCGCGGCGACCTGTCGCCTGCTAGCTCAGCGCTTCGACAGGACGGCCTACAACCTGTTTGGTTCGGCGGCTCGCTGGGACAGCCTGTCAAACCAGGGAGGAACTCAACCTCCTCCTCCTCCTCCTCCTCCTCCTCCTCCTCCTCCTCCTCCTCCTCCTCCTCCTCCTCATCCTCATCCTCATCCTCATCCTCCTCCTCCTCATCATCATCCTCCTCAGCCCTGATCATAGACTTAGTGTGGCGCGCCATCTCAGCCTCCCAGTCGACTGGGCCAATAAAAAAAGGCGCTAGGGGCCCGCATGGCATCGGGCCCGAGTGCTCCGACGGGCGCTTCCATTTCACTTCCTCTTTCTGCTCGCAAAACCCCATCAGCATATCGAACCACACGATGGCCAAGTCCCACCAGCCCTCTGGGCGCGAGTGGTTTACAGCGTTTCCTCTTCCATCTTCCATCTCCCCTCTCGGGGAGGGTTCTACCCCCCCCAAAAAAAATAACAAAAAAAAAAAAAAACATCCCGCCAGGACCTGGACGGGAGATTTCGCAAGGAGTTCAAACGTCCAAGATGGCCTCGGCGAGGAAACAAGCGCCGCTGATGTTACATCGGTTTCGGCAACATGCTGGCCTGATGGAGGAGGGGCGTAATTCAGCACGGCCCCTCCATTTTATCGATCTCTTCCTAGATGACCCCCAAACCTCCCAAGGGCGTCCCAAGGCAGCAACAAGAGGTGCCCAGGAGACCCCAAAGGCCCCGAAGCGGCCCCCAATATGCCCCCAAAAGACACCCAAGAGACACCCAAGAGGCCCCAAGAGGCGCCCCAAGGGCACCCGAGACGCCCCAAGAGGCCCCGGCGAGAAGGCCAACTTCACTAAGTGTACGAAGGTTTTGACCACATGTCGGCCTCCTGGGGAGGGTGGGGCTAATTCACGACGGCCCCTCCTTTGATCGATCTCCTCGAAAATGGCCTCACGATGGCCCCCGAGGTTCCCAAAAGTGCCCCACGAGGGCACCAGTACGCGCCCAGGAGCTTCAGCGGCCGCGTTGCTAAGGTCCTCCAGCATATGCTTTCTTGCGCCCTTGTTGCCCCCAGTAATAAGATATATTCGGCAAACCTTCAGTCAAAGAAGCACCATCGATCTTCACTCCAAACCGCTTCGCCCGCCTTTGCTTCTTGAGCTTACGCATCACATTTTCGAGGACGGCGTTGCACAGGCTAGGGCCCATGGGGTCACTCTGCTTGGTTCCCTGCTGCATTGGAACAAGCTCGCTTTCACGATCGGAAACACCTTAGCCGAACTAACTTTCATACAGCTTGGCCATGGCCGTGATATAGTTGTCCGGCACCCCTTGGTCCCTTCACGCTTTCAAAGTCGACGCACGTTTAAGCGAATCGAATGCCGTCTCAAAGTCAACCGCGGCCACCCATAACTCCAAATTGAGTTCAACCATCTTCTCGTGTGGGAACACAACAGAAAATAGGCAGTCATCACAGCTGAAACATCGCCGGAAGCCCGCTTTGTCTACCGACTGTTATTTACCGAGGAATTGCACCAAACGAGAGTTTAGCGTCATACTCGAATTGGAAGACTCGACATTGGCCGGTAGCTCGACGGCAGCTGCGGGCCCCCCTCCTTGAACAAAACACTGATGCTAGTTATCCTCTAGGATTCGGGCGGTTCGCTCCCTTCTGGCGGTACTTGCGTCCCCGACGCCACGATCCCTCATAAATGACGCGTTCTTGGCGTCCCCGAAATTGTAAGCTCTGATGAAATACACCGTTTTCTTGCTTTCGAGGCCACAATATTTCAGAAAAGGACCCCCAAACCGTACAAGAGGCCTCCGAGACGGCCCAAGAGTGCTCCAAGGCGCCCACGATGGTGCCAAGACGGCCCAAGAGGCTTTCAAGAGGAGGCCCCCAAGAGCGCTTCAAGAGCACCTCCAAATGGGGCCCAAGAGGCCAACATCTGCGATTCTCCTTAGGTTTACGATGTATCCGGCACGCTTATATCTCCAGTTGCCCCCGTTCGGAATTCCGACGCTGCTTCACGACGGCGCCTAGGCCTCACAACATAGCTCTTGCATACCCCCTTATCCGAGAGAGGGGCCGGCGGCAGTGGGCGAATCCCTTACGGATATACTCTTGGTATAGGAGCCAGCGAAGAGAAAACTTGGAGTCTCGGAGTCAGGGTCGATTGCAACGACGCTGGCGCGTCTTGGACTTGCACTGGTCCTCCTCCACCTGCCCCTCCTCGATTCCCGTCGTTCTCACATCCCGCCCTCATGACTCTCTCTCTCTCTCTCTCTCTCTCTCTCCCCCCCCACACCTCACCCTCATCCTCCTCCTCCTCCTCCTCCTCCTCTGCCCCCCGCCCCTCCCCCTCTCATCCTCCTCCTCGCCCTGCTCCTTGCCCTCTCCCTGCTCAAGAGGATCGCTGGGCCACCCGCCGCCCGGCCGGCGCGCCTGCGACGCAGCCCCGTCCGGTCTTCGCACGGGGACGCTGCAGAGAACCTCGGGGTCGCAGCAGGGGCGGCAGCGGGAGGGGGCGTGGCGGCCATGCTGCTGCGGCTGGGAAGGTCGCTCCTCCGCCTGCTCCGCCCTGCTCGGTATCCGCCCTCCCTCACTCCGCAGCCGTTCCATCCACCCTGTGCTCGCCCGTTCCCCGTCTCCAGCACTGCGGCGGCTGCGTGTCTGGACGACGAACGTCATTGCATGGTTCGTGCAACGCCTCCACCAACACTTCGCCACCGGTACGGCCCAACAGGGCTCCAAGAGGCTCTCCAAAGGCCCCGAAATGCTATCATCATGTGTTTCCAACAAGAGACTCCATCAGAGGTCCCCATGAAGCTCCAACGAAGCCCCCAGAGGCTCCAAAGAGGCCCCATCTTCTTTCTCCCCCTCCTCCTCTTGATGCTGCTCCTCCTCCTCCCCCTCCTCCTCCTCTTCCTCCTCCTCCTCCTCCTCCCCCTCTCGAACTTCCTCCCCCACGTTTTTTCCCCCGCGGGCCCGGTAGTTCTCGAAACCGTCGGGAGAGAACATAGATCGATAGCTTGGCCGTACCTTCAGGCAACGCTTGACCGACTAGGCACTTCCCACAAACACGAAGCGTCGGTGTTTCGCCGTAGGCGCCTTCGATCATCAAAACACTAACCATGGTTGATGTGAAAAGGACACCGTGATGAAACTGTGTCCATCGTTCTCCGCTACATCCTTGCAACTGTCATGGAGCGTTTCGGGTACTCCCTCAGTCGTACCATATTTCTTGACTGGCCAAAACCATGGTTGTGATGATCAGGTCGTAATGTTATCGTCGCTCCGCTATCGTTCCAAAATCTCCGGGTCAAGCTTACAGTACGATAGCGTATCGCGAGTGGTCGAGTCAGCGCGTGGTACTCCCAGCTTGGAAGCGGGTCGTACCACGTGTGCCACACAGCGGCTTGAGGGACAAACACACCGAACGATCTCGCAGGCGATCTGGTCACACTCCTCCCTGCTCCCTCCTTCTCTTTCTCATCCTGCTCAGCGCTAGCCTCCTCCTCCTCCTCTTCCTCTTCCTCCTCGTTTTGACGCCGTTCCTCGGGCTCGAACACGAGGGGGTCCCTGGAAGGGGGGCCCGACTCGCTGCCCAAGGAGCCTTCTTCCCCGAGGAGCTCGACCGAGCTCTCCTCGTCCCTGCTACCCACCTGGCCATTCCCTCCTCGGGCGCCACGGTCCTGACCCACTGGGCAGGGCCTTGATCACCCAGGACTCCTCACCTAGTGGAACGAAATCTAAACATCTCCACTGCTCCCTGGCCAGTCCCGTCCTGAAACCGGCAGCGGTGTCCTTGGAGGGTGAAAGAGGGGGTCTGCAACAAGGGGTCTTCAATGGGGGCTCAATGGCCTATGTATGCTCAATGTATCGCTCATGTATGTGATCGGGAACGATTGGCATCCGATGTTGGCGGTCATGGAGGGCCAATCGTTCGTGCCCGCGCGTTGCCCGCGCGGGCACACGCGCCGTCCATCCATTATCGTTCATGCGTGCGGGCGTTCTTGCATACTGCGCGTGGGGCTGCGAAGTGGAGTGCAAGTGTGTTTTGATTGTGCAATTGATGATCGCGCATGCTCCCAAACGACGAGTTAACGACCCCCAAGACAGATTTGAAATGGGCCCCGCGATTCTCCCACAATGTGAATTCACATTTTCCGTTTTCCCAAAATGTGAATTCATACTTTCCTTTTTCCCAAAATGTGAATTCACAGTCTGGGCCCTTCATATAGATTCCTACACAAAATTCCAAAATGTGAATTCACATGTTCCTTTTTCCCAAAATGTGAATTCACATTTTGCTTTTCCCGACAATGTGAATTCACATTTTGCCCTGGCTTCAAGATCCCCAGAACTGAGGCGCAGTGTTCCGCATGTCAGATTTGCTGGGCAGATCTTGACACTCACGTCAACGCTTCCGTATATTTCAACCTTGTCTTTTGGCGCCCTCAGCGCACGTTGCCTTCGTCGCCTTTCCCGGGCCCCCCGCCCCCTTGCTTTGTTTCCCTTCAAGTCTCGCGCATGGGTGCAGGCAGGGAGCTTCAATTTGCACCCCCGCCGAACACAGCAATCGAGGATGTATCGCCCATTCATGGCCCATAAAGACACCATTGCCAGGACCCCGAGGCCGACCCCTACTTTCACCCTACGCCACGCACTCCTGGCTTGGCCAGGAGGGCGTATACACAGCTCCTGTGTATGGAGGCAGTTGAAATATACATATATAGAGAGAGAGAGAGAGATTTCGTCGCCCGATCACTTGATGCACTCCCTTCGGGTCGGGCGAAAGAGGGGGATAGCAAAGGGGGGGTTGAGAATCAGCTCACGTAGCTGATTTCCCCGGCGCCTCCCGGCGCCGGAGCGGGCTATGTATCGAGGAATGGGCCCCTCGGTGAGGCCGAAACCAGCTGCACGCAGCAGACTTCGTAACCCCCCCTTCTTTCCCACCCACCCCCCTCTCGTCGGGCCCGATCCCTCGTCGCCCGATCCCTTGAGGCACTCCCTCCCCCCCTCCCTCCGCTCGCCTCTGCAGGGGCCCGCCCTGCGCCAGCGCTCCCCCGGGGGGGGGGGGAGGGCCTCCGGCCCGCCGGGGAGCGTCTGGCTCGCCAGCTGCTGGAAGAGGGTCACCTCGACGGTGTTGTTCTCGGAGTTCGGGCGGGCGACCTGTGGGCGGGCCTCCGCTCTGCAGGGGAGGCGGCTGGCCATCGCTCGGACGTCCATTCCCTGTGCCTTTGTTAGGCTTCGTGCGTGGTTGTTTCGCCCAATGATCAAGGATGCTCCTCGATGGTCCTCGCCGAAGGAAAAAGGCACACGTCCGAGCGATGCCAAGGCGGCGGGGTACGCCCCCCGGACTCCATCGGTTCAGTAATCCTCGCCGCCCCCGTCGCCATGGAGACGCTCAGGGGCCAGATCGCCGAGCTGAAGCATCTCAAGATGCGCACGGGGGGGAAAGGGGAGGACGACTTGAAATCCAACAGCCCTCTGGGTTGCAGGTGGTCACGGGACGTGCCCCCAGATCCGTATTTTCCTGATCCAGAGATCAGCATGAAAAATTGTCCGGTTCTCCCCCATACCCCCTTTACATGTTTTTGTTTTCGCATGAGCTGTGCGAGACTGCCTCCGCTGTACAAGTCTGATGAAACAAACACTCACCCTTCTCTGGTCCTGCGGGCCGCAGCCCCGAACCAAGGCCAAAAAAGGAAACATGACCGACCCACGAACACGGAAAGGGATGTAGACATGTGAAGCATGGCGTCGGTTCCAAAACGTCAATCTTGAGCGACAGGCAATTACAAACCGTGCCACGGGCTGTGCTGTACTGCACCGTGTTGTGCTGTGTTGAATTCAACGTGTCATGCCGCGTTGAACCGTGCCGCGCCCTATTGATTTGTGGATGGAGCCGTCATTGGCGTCAGAATCGTGGCCGAACGGATTTGAATCTCAAGCTCAAACTGCCCGAACGCATAGCTCGAGCTGACTGTAGTCGAGACGCGCGGGGCGCTCGACCAGCTCGAGCTCAAGATCCGATTCAGTTCCGAAGCCATCGCCCGAGGCATTCATTCAAGTTCCGCAATGGAGCGACCGAGCGCGACCACGACAGGCGGGGGAGAAACATGCGGGGCGTTCAACCAGCTGGAACTCAAGATCCGATTCACTTCCGGAGTGGGGCGAACCGATCAAGGGGCGAATCCGAACCGAAACGAGAAGCACCGAGACGACGGCAAGGCCCCGCTCGACACTTCCTTAAACCATGGAACAAGTGCGAAAAGACGTGGGCCCATTTCGCCCCTGAGCGGAACAAGCGTGAAAAGACGTGGGTCCGTTTCGTCCCTGAGCGGAACAAGCGCGAAAACACGTGGGTCCCATGTGCCTCAGAGCGGAACAACCCTGAAAACACGTGGGCCACTTTTCGCCCATGAGCGGAACAAGCGTGAAAACACGTGAACCCCTTTCGCCCATGAGCGGAACAAGCGCGAAAGCACCTGGGTCCCTTTCGCCCCTCAGCGGAACAAGCGTGAAAACACGCGGGCCCCTGTCGCGACGGAACGGAGCAAACGTGAAAACATGTGGTTCCAGCTCGGCAGCACCATTTTAGATACCACCCTTGGCGACCTGGGCAAGTGAAAACAAGCATTTCACCTGAGACGCCCTATGAATTCTAGCCTCCCCCGAGGCCCCCGCTGGAGACATCCCCCGATTGAGCAAAACCTGCGCCTACCCTGAGACATCCTCAACCTGTGAAATAAATCAAGCGCCTCGCTAAAAACATCCTCAACACTCAATTCCATCGGCCCTCTTCGACCTCTTTGTTCATCGCAAAATAATTCCCCGGGCCCCTTCAAATCAAAGCCCGGGGAGGTAACCTCTAAAAGAGCACCCGGAACCTACGCCTTTTCTCTCTCTCTCTCTCTCACTATATTTGTCTCTCTCTCTCTCTCTCTCTCTCTCTCTCTCACTCACTCACTCACTCACTCTCTCTCTCTCTCCCTCTCCATCTCTCTTTCTCTCTCTCTAGTCTCGGCTCGAGAGTGCCCAGCACTCAGACCGCAGCCGCGACGCGAAGCGCCCCGCCTCGGAGTCAGACTCCCAGGCCTCGCGAGACCGGAGGGGCCCCAGCAGGACCCTACTGATTCGCGTCACCTCTCCCCACCAGAGCGCCCGCAGCAATGGCCCCCAGTAAGCCGGAGCGCCGTCGCTCTTCCAAGCAGCCCCCGAGTTCACGCCCTGCTGCTGAAGGGTCTCTCCTCCAACGCAAGCAGGACTGCATCGCAGCGTTCAAGCAAGCGGGGTCTGACCGCCCCACGGCCGCATACAACGGGCTTGCCGAGCTGAACGCGGACGAGCTCCAGGCAACGTACGACATGCACAAGACCAACACGAAGAAGCTTGGCAGTGCCTTGATCCGCATGTGCGCCGCCAACCAGATCAGCTACACGCTTGATCACCACCAGCGCAGCAAGCCTAAGCGCATTGGCGGTGACACATCACACCCACCAGCTGGGTCCGCACGTCTTCAGGCTGCGGACACCCAATTCATCGCCTTGGACCCGGCCTTTTGGAAGGTCCCTGTCCTCGCCGAACCCACATCTCCTGACGACGGCAAGACGTACAAGCCCAGTATCAGCCTCCACGACTACGAGAGCGGTGAACGGCTGCTGCAACACCACCTCGAGCAGGGTAAGCGAACCACGGGTCAGCTCGCGATTGCTGTCATGGGCCTAAAAAACGACAACTACGTCGGTACCGAGCTCGCCGTCCCCGTGCTGAAGCGTCACCCCAAGGCGCCCAAAGTGGTCCACACGCACGTCCCCGTGACCGTGTACCAGCTGGGCACCAAGGAAGTCGCCTGCACGGAAAAAGTAGCCGTCGCCACCATCGACCCTGCCGACCACGTATGCTGGATTCGGGCGACCATACATGAAACCGAGGCCATTGCCGCAGTCCCCTCCATGCATCAGGCCTTCGAGGACCAGTTCTCGGGAGGTGCCCCCGTGAACGGTGGTCCACGCGCCAAGGGTCCTTTCCGAGGGGACTCCGCTCCACAGGACAAGGCGCGCCAAAACCAAAAGCACAGGGAGTCCAAGAAAGACGCTCGCCGCCAGGAGCTCGATAGTCAGCTCCAGGACACCTTCAAGGCCCTCTTCCACGGCAACTTTAAAGCCGTCACCATCCTCGAACCCTGCAAAAGCCTAGGCAGGTTTGGATCGGGCGTCGGAAAGAGGTCCCTGGCTGCCACCTTCGGCGTCAGTCTTCAAGCGGTCGACAAGGTCCTGGCGGGATCAGGGCAACTCGGTGCCACCTACGACCTCAGCAACGTAGGTGCAGACGAGCCCACCGCAGACAAGTATCAGACCGTGTGGTTCCCTGAGGACCAGCCCATCACGATGGCAGATGCGTTCCAGAAGTCGGTGGATTTCAAGGCCCTGGGAGTCGTCAGGCACGGCAAGTCAGGCTTATTGGGGATCCGTGTTTCACGGGGGTCAGACGCCGCCAAGGCTGCTGCCGTCAGCATCCGCGGCTGCGAGGCCACCCTCGCCAAGACGCGCTACCGCATCACTGGCATTGCGGCACGCCACGCCACGCTGACCCAGCTCGCCAAGACTCTCACGGGCCCGTCCGTTAAATGGGACTGTGAGGTCTACCACACCGCCTGGGACCCAGCCACTGCGGCTCAGTTTGCCTTAGTGCGCGCCCATCGTCCCCCACTCACATATACGGTACAGGTCGCAGGGTGCCCCATCCCGTGGAGCATCACCGAGGCCCCGCTGGCTGAGGTGGTGCCGAAGCGGGACAACGTTACCATCGTCACGCCTACCACCATCACAGAGCCTGTGACGCCGCCAGCCCGTGGTGGCGGCTTCAGCCCCGCCACCGGCACACTCCTCACCAAAGCGGCCCAGAGCCCCTACCTCCACGACCTCATGACTGCCACGCCCAAAGGCAAGGGCGTCGCACCGCTCCTGATCCCCAAGGAGGAGCCTTCAGCCAAGCGCCACCGATCCTCCAGCGGGAAACGCGACGCCACGCCGCACGCAAGATCACACGGCGCCCCAGGCCGCAGTTCCTCTGCACCCCCGCACGGCACGGACGGAGCCGCTGAACAGACGGTCGTCCCAGGATCAGGTGGTCATGACTCTCGGCTTGGCACGGTGGCGGCTGAAGGTGGGGGCCACACCGAAGGGGGCGCTGCCACAGCCGCCGAAGTACCAGGTGACGCTGACGACGTCGAGATCATCTCATCAGGTGATGAATACAGCGTGGCCTCCCACGAACTCAACACCTTCGGCGAACGCTTCGCATCGGCCTCTAAACTGCCAGATGCCGCCACGACCCGCATCCAACACATGGAACAACAGCACGAGCTGCTAGCCAACACGGTGGATAACATGCAGGTCCAGCTTGCGGGCGTTCTCTCCTCCCAGGCCACACTCACGGAGCACGTCTCAGGGTTGGAACGGGGACTTGCCACCGTCGTCACCCAGCAACAGACGGCAACCGCCGACGCCGCTGCACTGCGTGGCGACATCCAGGCCCTCCTCGGGCACCTCACGGGGGGCACCATCCACCTGCCACAAGTGGCCACTCTGGAAACTAAGAAGGAGGAAGCTGCATCAGTTGCCGATCCCGTGGCTGTCTGCGGGTGGATCGACCAGCCAGGCCAGGTCACCCCAGGGACGGGGCCCCCAGGGGCTGACAAAGGCAAAGACAAGGGTCGGGCCACCCAGGAACCCTATTGAAGGTGCCTCAGAGAGCCTGCCTCAGCCCTCCGAGGAAGCGCCTTCAGAGGCATCTCTTCCCTCTTCGCGTCGTATCTCTTTCTTGTCACCTCATGTCTGTTTTGGCAGCAGCACGCGCAAGCTATCTGGTGTAGGGACACCCGTCATCTTGCAGGGGGCGTGATTGTTGCAATGTACATGAGCATGCAGGTGTATTTGAGGATGCGTGCTGACATGCAGCATGCAGCTTTTGGCACATCGCTCGCGCCGCCCGCCAGGCCTCGCCATCATGTGGCGCCTTGCCTGCAGCCTGGCCCTCCCCTCGCTCGCTGGAGCACACCCGTCTTCAGGCGGTGCGCCCCAGCATGGAGGAGAGGTTTTCCTGCGACACGCTGAACGTGGGACTTTCTTCTACCTTAACGATGACAGCATCAACAAGCACGATCA